ATTAAAACCGACCAGTTTTGCCTTCTAGCCATTGCCAACGAATATTTTAACCTATATTCTCTTCTATATGACCGTTGGACATGTTTTGCTATATATAGAGACCTCTAGTTCACTTCTACTCACTTCTAACTCTTAAAATCAAGCTTTCTTGCCTTATTATACTCTCTTTGCCTCCTTATTCCATCACTTGTCTTCCTAAATCTTCTTGATATTCATCTACTCTTTCAAATGACCTCATCTTCTCGCCCTAAGATTCCTACTAGAAGAAGATCTGCACCTTCTTCTCATTCCCGTCCTAATTCTATAGAAGGATGGATTTCTGATGCAGATGGCCAACAAGAATTTATAACCTATTGGAAGGAACGTGCTATCATTTCACCCAAGTTTCTTATTGGTGAGCAATTCATTCATAGAGGATTTAATTTTCCTAATCTTCTTGAAATTCAAGGAGTTCTCCCATTTATCCAAATGCAAGGTACATACTATCCTGACTTAGTTAGGGTATTCTATTCTAGATTCAAATTTAGAGATCAAATTGCTACATCCCGTGTAAAAGGGGTTACCATAATTCTTGATGATGATATTTGGGAAAATGTTGCTCACTTCCCAATTAGAGAAGATGCTATTAACGTTTATGGTGAGCTAGATGACTTTGACAGGTTCCTAGCTTATCGCTCTTTTCTACGGAATCCCTCCATGGAGATTGGGCGTATCCTTCATGTTGGACCTTTGAAGAAGGAAGAACGCATGATTCTACATTTGCTTGTATGGATTTTATGTCCCCGGGCCACAAATCATGCCCAATGCTCTTCCATTGATCTTCGTGTTATTCATGCCATAATGAATAATGAACCTTTAGATTGGGGTGTTCTTGTCTCAATGACCATGTTAAAAGCAAAATGTCATCCCACCTTCAAAATTCCATATGCTCTTCTTGTTTCCCGTATTCTTGAGTATAAAGGAGTGAATGTTGAAGGTGAAAAAGTTGTTAGAACAAATAACTTAAACCGCATGCTGGACAGCACATTGACTCATCTCCAAATGGTGCGAGTCAATGATATTTATGTTCACAAAGATGACGTTCCTAATCAAGGTGATGCAAATGAAGACTCTGATGAAGATATGCCACTAGCTGCTGAGTTTCCCTCTGACCAAATCCAAAGTGTTGGAACTTCCTCTACTCATCATGAACCAAGACAATCCATGGAAGACATGTTATCTGACATGAATCAGAGGATGCAATCATTCTTCACTCTTTCTGGGGTACGGCATGAGGAGTTAATTCGCCGTATATCTGATGTAGATGATAAAGTGTGTCATTTAGAAAATAGATTTGATGCACACTTTAATGATGATGATAGTGAAGAATTTTAAATTTTGTTGAGTATTTTCTTTTGTTATTGTTTTGTGATTGTAATGAATAAATTTGTTCTGCAATAAAATATAATGTTTCTTTAATGCCTTGATTGAGGGGGAGTCTTCTCCAACTTATGCATATTTTGAGGGGGAGCTCTTATGATTGTTATTATAGAGTTATTTTTTATTATAATCAAAATAGGGGGAGAAATATTTAAAGCCTACTATGATTAAATTTAAATATTATCTGGTATGTTTAATGTGTTTGTTAGTATGACAGATAAAACAGGTTATTACAAGGGCTTTAAAAGATAATTTTGATCATCATCAAAAAGGGGGAGATTGTTGAACATTCAAGGACTTGATGTTGCACTTGAAGAACATGAAGATGGTTGATTTTGATGATGATTCAAGAACTCAAAGACTTAGAGTGTTGAAGACTTGTTTTGTATTGTAATAACTCTGTTTTAATTAGATTGAGTCTGTAATTTTAGAGTTTGAGATAGCCGGTACATAGTCTGCAACTTAGAAGCTTCAAAAAGCTCAAATTTATCATCCAGGCTCGGCTTTAATCGATTAAATAGGTAAATAATCGATTAAAACAGTGAGAAAATCATTTTCTGTATAAACTCACTGCTTTAATCGATTAAACAGCAAAATAATCGATTATTTCGTCTGATAATCGATTATTTCACCTAATAATCGATTAAAACAGAGAGGTATTGGGTTCTGTTGTTTTTGGCTCTATTTTAATCGATTATTTCAGTCTATTTTTGATTTTAAATTTCAAATCAACCCTATTTTCGAAAATCCAATTACCAAGAACCCTAGTTTCGAAATCCCCAATTCCTAAACCCTAATTTCTCTACTTAAACTCTTCTATGGCACTTAGAAAATTAGAACAGCCCTTTCCACACAATAGTTAAGTGATGTGAGTGCCAGAGAACTGTTTGTTGCAAGGAAAGGGGGCTTTTGGAACCTGGTGTGGGCTAGAAGCGATAAGAATCACTAAGTGGAGTTCTTAGTGGATTGTGTGTTGTGCCGTCTCTAGGGAAAGTTGTTCATCATCTCTTGTGGATTTCAAGAGAGGTGTTTTCTTATCTTTATCTGTTCATTTGTAATCTGCTTGTAACAACTTGATTTTAGTGACAGCGTTAATCCTCTGTTTGAGTGATTAGCAACTGGACGTAGGGTCTTTTGATCCGAACCAGTATAAATCTCCTGTGTAAGATTCTCTTCTCTTCTCTATTTACATTTACACAGTTTTTAATCGGTAAAATTTGGGGAAAATTTTGAAAACCTAATTTTTATTAAGAAACCAATTCACCCCCCCCCCCTCTTGGTTTTTGTCCGACCACGCGAACATTCCGCTGCGCGATTCTAACATTCTTTTCCACCAAAAAGAGGTGATATTCTTCAAAAAGGAGGTGCAAAAAGTGAGCCTACAAAAGGAAAACGAAAATAAGTGAAAAAACATGAGAAAAGAAAATACTTAGTAAATTAAAAATGAAGGGTGAGGAGGAAGTCTTCCTTTTAGTCATGCTTCTAGTGATCCTCCTAGGGATGACCTCTTTCATCTCCGGGGCAACTAGGGACTCATCAAACTCCTCCAAGGAAGATTTCTTTTAGGAGAATAGGAGAAAGAAATCTCCAAAGACACTTAAAAAGTCAATTCGGCATACAAACAAAATATGCAGGTTTCACACACAAGTTTTGACTTCATTCCAATGTGATTCAAAAAGCTACACAAGGGGTCATATATATAGTTGTTCCCCTCTCATTCACTCACTCACCTAAGGAATGTGGGACTAATTTTGCCTTATACAAGTGATGGCCAAAATTCCTAGCTTCAAGTCACACCTAGACCACTTTTAATTACATTTATGAGTTTATATACCAAAAAACTCTCAAATGTTGCAACCAAAAGTTGAACCTTGGACCTCCTTGTGTGTTTGGAGTGCTTTAGCCGAATTTGAGAAGCTAAAATGATGTATTCCCTTTTTTTTTAAGTCAAGACTTGAACCTTAAGTGCAGCCCCTTAAAGTTTAGGCCTTATTTGAAGCCTGGTGTGTTGAGGCCCAGTGTGGTGAGGCCCAATGTATTATAGCCAGATGGTCCTCCATCAGAAGGGATATAACTCAGTCGCAGAGTGTCACTTGATATGGTGGAAGTTATCAGTTCGAGCCTAATTATCCCTAAACCCAATGTAAGTTTTTCAATTTGTATGTTATGATTGAATACAAACTGATCAAATAATAATTAAGAATGGATAAGAGGCTCATGGGATTGCACGAAGGGTAGGGGGCTATTTTTTTTGGAGCGAACTTGAGTTGAATGTGAATCGCCTGGATATAAGTTATGTCTTGGAATGAAAAAGAACTTTGAATCAACTTTGTCTACAAACAAGGAAGTTATAAGTAATGCAACTAGGAATCTCATGGATAGTTTGATCTTGGCTCAAGATCAACGTTAGTGGCGTGGCTTACACATGCAAGTTGGACAAAAAGTGGTGTTTCTGGTGGCAGATGAGTGAGTAATGCTTAAGAACCTACCCTTGGGAGGGAAACAATAGTTGGAAACGATTGTTAATCCCCATGGGCTAAGGAGGAATTTGTCCGAGGAATGGCTCATGTCTGATTAGGTAGTTAGTGAGGCAATAACATTCTAAGGCAATAATCAATAGTTGGTTCGAGAGGATGATCAACACACTGGGACTGAGACATGACACAGACTCCTATAGGAGGCTGTAATGGAGAATTTTTCGCAATGGACGAAAGTTTGATAGAGCAATGTTGCGTGAAAATAAAATACCTACGAGTCCTGAACTTCTTTTCCAAAAGAAGAATCAATGACAGTATCTAGGAAATAAGCACCGACTAACTTTGTGCCAGCAGTCGTAGAGGATGCAAGCATTATCCAGAATGATTGGGCGTAAAGCATCTGTAAATGGCTTTTTTAAGTTCACCGTCAAATTCCAGGTCTTAACCCTGGACAAGCGGTGGAAACTACCAAGTTGGAGTACGTAGGGGTAGAGGGAATTTTCAGTGCAGCAGTGAAATGCGTAAAGATTGAAAAGAACAATAATGGTGAAAGCACTCTCGACCGACACTGACAATGAGAGTTGAAAACTTGGAGATCAAATGAGAGTAGATACCCTAGTAGTCCTAGCCGTAAATGATAGATAGTAGGTGTTGTATGTATCGACCAGTGCAATGTTATAGCTAACACATTAAGTATCCTACCTGGGAGTACATTCGCAAGAATGAAACTCAAAGGAAGTGACTAAGGTCGGAAAGCGGTGGAGCATGTGATTTAATTCGATGCAAAGCGAAGGATCTTACCAAGGCTTGACATGTCGTGAATCCTCTTGAAAGAGAGGGGTGCCTTTGGGAACACGAACACTAGTGATGCATTGGTCGTTAGCTCATGTTGTAAGGTGTTGGGTTAAGTCTTGCAACAAGCACAACCCTTGTGTTTAGTTGTCAGGATTGAGTTTGGAACCATGAGCATACTGTCAGTGATAAGTTGGAGGAAGGTGAGGATCATATTAAGTTATCGTGCCCCTTATGTCCTAGGCGACACACATATTATAATGGACATAACAAAGAATCGTGATCCCACAAGGGTGAACTAACTTAAAAAACTCGTCCACAGTTCAAATTGTAGGCTGCAACTTGCTTGCATGAAGCTAGAATCACTAGTAATCTCTGATAAGCCATATGGCGGTGAATTCGTTTCTGGGCCTTGTAGACATAGCTCGTCACACTATGGGACCTGGCCATCCCCGAAGTCATTACCTTAACCGCAAGGAGGGGGATGTCGAAGTCAGGACTAGTAATTGGAGCAAAGTTGTAATAAGGTAGTCGTACTGAAAGGTTCAGTTAGATCATCTCCTTTACAGGGAGAGCTAATGCTTGTTGGGTAGTTTGACACTGTTTTAAACACAAAAAGAAGCAAGTTATGTCTGAATAAAATTTGGAGATGAAAATCTTCTTTCATTTCTCACTAGTGAAGTAAAGACTAAACTCATTAGCTTATTATCCTAAGTTAAAACAAGTTTATAGGAGCTCTTTTTTTCGCCTCATCCATGTCGTCATATTTCTCTTGCTTTTGGTATAGTGAGCCTCGATAGCAGGTCCGCATAATGAGTTATTAGTTCATTAATAGAGCGCATCCTTGATAATTGCATTATTATGGCTGAAATGTGAGGGCTCTTAGCCACATGGATTGTTTAATATGTTCATCGGTGTCTAACCCTGATATGTGGATCATCAAAGATACATGAGTATGACGTACTTCTCCTATTTGAACCATATTTTGAAACCAAACGAATTATTAGGAGGATGAATTAGGCGATTCAGGTTAGATCTAATATAGTCAAACTTTCTCTTTGCTCGTGGGATTAGGGTGATCTTGGGAAACCACTATGATTCCTTCCTCTCGAACACAAATTTAAGTTTGGTCTCAATAAAAAAAAAAATTAAAACACCAAACAATATATCTTCACATATCATGAACTACAAAATATTTAATATAGAATTATAAAATATCTAGGATTATATATTTTAAAAATATTTAAATTTAAAATAATAAAATAATACAAAATATATTAAATTATTCATTTGATGTTAAGATAATTTTCTTATTTATCACACACTATCAAAATAACATAACTAAAAGTCAATATACATATATAAATTAAAATTATATACATAAAAATAAATAATAATTATGTAAAATAAATAATTGAAAACTAGAACATATGGGTTTTTTTTATTACTTTTCTTATAAATAAGATAAATTTTTTATTTTGTTTATTAGTCACTTTTGTTCTTCCTTCTTATAATCAGACATTTGTATTTGTATTCTTCTATTAAATATTAAAATTCGACTATATTTAATATTAAAATTTTAATTTATATAAATATAAAAGATATAATAAAAATTAAACTACTCATTCCAAATTAAGAATTTAAAATTTAATATATTTTAATTATTCATCAAAACAAATGTTATATGTTACACAATATATTAAACTTAATATGTTACAAAAAATTAGAGATAATTTTAAAAATTAAACTTAAAACCATTAATGAATATATATCATTTACTATCACTACATAATCAAAACAAATTTAATTACTCAGTAACATAATAAAAAAATCACAATATATTAGTTTAACTTAATATAATTAACCTTCTAAATAATATTACTTATTATTAAAAATAGTTCATAAAATAAAAAACACTACTATTATTCACATAAATTTAATTACTCAGTAAGATGATCTTTGATCATTATATAAGTAATTGATATATTATTATTCTCATATTAGTATTAACTTAAATTCTGGCAAATCCATTATATATATATATATATATATATATATATATATATATATATATATATATATATATATTCCTTATTCCCACAGAAACATAGTAAAAATTCAAATATTTTAAATTTCATGTTCAGATACATAGGTTGATAAATTCAAGTAGATAGTACATGAGTTATCATTCATTTGAGTGAATCGTAATATGTTTAATGACTCTGAAACCTAGCCTAAATTTGGGGCGTACATGCAACAACAATTACTTTATGTTGAACAGTCAAGAAATCTTCAAGCTTTAATTTCTATCTCTACAATGTTCTCTCCTTTAAAAAACAAAAACAAGGAATCTTTTCAATTTTTAAAACTCCTACATTTTCTCTTTGCATCTCCTAAAACCACAATATAATTTCATATAACCAAATAATAAAAACATAAAATACGAAAAATAGTAAAACTCAATTAAATATAAATAATAATTATTTTTTTATATGAACAAATAATAAATGAAGTGAGTTGCAAAAAAGATAATTTCCTTCAGTTATTCTATTAAGTACATAGAAATTTGCAAAAAAGAATTAAAGTACTAAAATTTCTTATACATAATATAGAAAATGAAGTTAGAAGTTTGATATACTACAAGAATATTGTTCCCAATTTTTCTGCACATGCTCAAGTCACACCTCTAAGCTGCCAGTAACAAACTATCCTTCCAGTATAGAATAAGCTTCTGTTTGAGCTGTTTATGTGTAAAGTCGTTTGTCGGTCATTACTATCATAGTTTATTCAAATGTTCAAATAAAATGACAAGAAAAAAAAATTATTCATATAAATAATCATATCCTTTTGTTTAAATCATATGTAGAAAACATGAGTCATAAAATTATTGGAATAAAAATGTTTTCTAAAGTTTTGTTAATTGCATACCAAATATTAGAAACTATAAATCCAAACTTTTGTGAGGGCCATTTGCCTGCACTGGAAGATGGAGAACCAAACATTATTTTTTGCAAATACATTATCAATAAATTATCCAAACAATACTCAAATTTCTTCAACAAAATACAGAGATTTAAACTCAATAGAGTATTCAGCTGCTTTCTAAAAAAAGTCCCACATAAACACTCTAAACCTAGTCAGATTTTCAATATAAGTTAACATATATAAAACCAAACTACACAACAAAACAGTTACAGAAGCTTAATGACGAGTGCCATCTTCATTATCCTCCATCTCTTCTGCATCCTCAAATCTTCGATCATTGATTTGAAGCTGTGATAAATTAAGTGGATATAAGTAATGCAGCACAGAGAAAACAAATTAGACAAACCAGACTTCCCCGTTAAACAAGGTTGTACAAGCATTGCGAACATTCACATCAACAAACAAAGATAATGTTGTATAAATGTAAAATATGTTTCAACCAGTAAATATATCGCTTTTGTGTAGTATCATTTTCAGGAATTATATATTTTTTAAACATATCGGCTTGCAGAAAATAATGTTCCAGTTTGTTCTCTTATGAGCTCTAACTTGATGTTCAAAATGTAACAGATAAATGACATACGTAGAATTAAGAACACGTTCTATCAGATACTGAATTGAAAATAATGTGACCATTGGATCAAAAAATCATATAAAATAGATTAAGTTTGAAAAAAATTCCATTCACCAAAAAGCATTTTCGTGCAAATAAAAAATTTATTGAAATTTCATTGCACGGTTTTATTTTAACGACTAATATCTCATTAGTATGGTTCATTATTACATAACATTTCAACAAATATTTCGATTGGATGAAATTTAACCGCTGAATTGGCTAATTTCGTAATCTATTGAATGTTATTTAGTGGTGTAAATACAGAAGTTTGACAGAATGACAATTAAGTGTGGTTATATTTACAATTTATAATATGCTTCAATTCAAATGCATAATCCAAATCCTTATTTTCTCATTTTAAACGCCTCAGTTTAGAAGAGCTATATCCCTGTGTCAGAGAATAAGATTGCAAACAGAAGTAGATAGAGAAGAACACCCAACCTCAAGTATGGTCCGAGCTAGGTCATTATTGCCATTTGAGTGACCAATCGAGTTGGCTGGATTGTGAGAGATATAACCTTCGTCCTCTGGAAGAAAGACAAAAGGAATATGTTTAAGAATAATAGAGTAAGCCTATATGATTTATTAAGAACAAGATTAAGGCCCGGAAACAAACCTGCTTCTTCGTCAACCATCTGATCAGCACTGAAAACCCAGTCATTTTCTTCTCCTTCCTCTGAAATAACAACACAACTCAGGTAGAAGAAAATACAAGGGTGAAGAAAAAGGTATCCGTACTAAAAAATAATATTTACCATCATTTGGTTCTGGATTAAGTTCTGCACACTGGCAGAATATTGCAAAGAGAGTATCCACTGGAAAACAATGAAGAGACACATCAAAAAAGTACTGAAAACAAGCATAATGTGAAGAGTGGTGAAGACAAAAAAAAGATACATTGACTAGGATCAGAGGGAATAAGCCTCATTTCTGTGACATTGGACAAATCCTGTTGGATATGATTGGATTCCGAATCAGAGTGGTCATCATCTGCTACTTCAGTATCAATCTAGAAGAGGAAGAGGAAATAATGAAAAAAAATGAAAGGCAAGAAATATGAAAAATAGTAGAATTAATATATGTACCTGGGTATATAAACAAGGAACAGGGTAGGCTTCAGGATCTCTAGAGACGGCATGGAGAGATATAGATAAAAAATCAACAGCATACCCTCCAGTCTTGTCTACATCACTCACCCATATTACTTGCCTGTAAGTAATAAAAAAAGGGCAAAGAATACTGAATAGAGAACACCATAATACAAGAGAATAATGAGAGGAGAGGAGAGCATACTTAGTGGTGATATAGAGTGTGCCAGGGGATTCTGGAGGAAGGTTGCCAAGGACTATGTCTATGCCAGGCTGTACCTGCATCAGCTCCTCCCTATTCTCACTGTCAAGGACGGGCTGTCCACTACAGCGTATCTCTCTCACCCCTAACACCATTTCTTTTTATCTACGGCGGTCTACTTCTCAATATCTGCTCCAAATTAACTCCAGTCACACTCTAGGCTGCATTTGGATACAGATTTGTAAAATTCTCAGGAATTTAAAATGCATAGAAATGTTACAAGGTCAAGGACTCTTAGGAAGCAGCAGTTTCACTATAGTAGAAGGTAAGAACATAACTACATCTCAGTGTACAAATGAGAAAGTGCCAATCACTCACACCACAACTACTCCTTTTGTACCTAATATACTTAAAAACAATCATATACGAAAATGCAAATAGCATATGAACTTTGATTGGTTAGGAAACAAGCTATTAGCCCAAACATTTCAACAAAAGTTAACTACTTTTTGGGTTGGAAATTGAAGAGTCACATATGTTAGACACACCACAAAGACTGTTCAAATCTAAAATCATCAATATTTGAATTATGATGAAGAAAAAATATTGATTTTTTCATAGTATTATCATGACTTAAGCCATAATTCTGCCTCTCGGACAGCATATTAACAGAGAATCACTTCCAAATATTGGTAAGATGTTGACTATTTCAGATAGATTATGAAAGAAGGGCATTCATTACTAATTTACATCATTATTTAAAAAATAGAATCCATAAACTAAGACGGCTTGCTCAAGAATAATTGATTCAGAACCCAATTTGTGCATTTATGCGGATGTGTATTTATAGGGAAGTAACAACTGACATAACAAAAAAATGTACAGTATAGTATACAGATAATCAGTGTTACGAATTATGGATTGTAAAAGAAAATCCAATAATCCAATGTCATATAGCAGATAGTATGGTCGGCAAATATTGGAAGCCACGTAACAGTTAAAATATACAGTATTTATCAATTATGTGTATAAAACATAAAGTTGCATGCAAATAAATTAATATTGACTAAATATTAACTGAAAAGCTTCATTTGCGGGAGACTTGCTAGAGATGACAAGAGGATGCAAGATGCAAGCTAAAACCACTACATCAATGACAGCCACAATAGCAGACAAAGTTTTGATCGCAGATTCAAGGGATTCCACGATGCAATAGCATTATAATGCTGTTATTAGAATTCAGCATGACATTCCAAACACAATATTAGTCAGACTTGTATTAATTCTGTTGGAGCCAGTAACCACTGTCTTCACTATAAAGGATAATGAACACTAGGGGTTTATAAAGAAAATATAAACACATAACAAAAGTAATACAATATATTTTTTTCATAGTTCCATCATGACTTACACGTGAGTGTGCCAGAAAAGGACAATATGTTTTAAAAACCAAAATATCACTAGCACAAAAGAAAAATGGAATGAATTAGCTTGCCTTGTAATATAATATATAGGTCGCTGAAGAAGAATTGATAAAGGCGTCCTGCTGTGGAATAAAATCTTATGGACAAGGGAACTCTGCCAAACACATGCTCAATGTATGATTTTGTTTTTTGTAATAAAGGAAAAATTAGCAGCAATTTAGACTATCACATTAGCTCAGGCATTCCATCAAATAGGTTATAGGTAGGTATGCAAGTTGGTTACATACTTAAATCCTAAAATCCTCAACCACCCAGTACAAGGTATCAACTACCATTGAACATTATGTAGGGAGACTCAACCAATAATACAAACTAACATTATCAAGTCACTTTTCCTAGACTAGGAGCAACAAAAATAAGCTGGAAGCACAACTCAAAGATCAATATTACGAAAACTACCCAAGCTAGGACAACATATTCAGACTTTGTTTTTTAACATATTATGAACACGATTTCAACAATAATGAGACAAGCGAACAAGACCAATTAGTAATATAAAATTCAAACACCCCAGCAAGGTTCATATTGCTCTGATGGTAAAGACACTTGACTGAAAAAAACTAACAATGTCAACAAGATTAGGAATTTGTAAATTGCCGAGACAAATACATTGAAAATTCTTCTAACACATGCTAGAAGATTAGAGCAACCAAATCATACGAAAGCAGGAAATAAAAACAAAGAAAAAGTCATACATGTAAGAAGGAGATGAACCTGAGACAAAGGAGAGTGGAATGAAAGATGTGGGATGGGAGAAGAATTTCGAAAATGTTACGGTTTTAAAGGGGTTTTTGGTTTGAGTTCAACTTAAAATTCAGTCCTCCTCCCTCCGCCCAAAATTTAGATAACCTAAGGCCACAATCAAACATATTTCTAAGTATATTATGGATATATTTTATATAACAGAATATAAACATGGAACAAAATTTTTATGTTTATAATAGAATATTTATACAAAATAAATAAAATTTTATATTATATGACACTATTTTATTGTTTAATTAAATCTTATAAAACATAGTTTATAAATCATGTTTTATGATATATATAGAGATGAAAAGAAAAGTTAATATAATATTTAATACTAAAAACATGTCATTTGTTGAATTATAGAAATAAATAGATTTTTCAGTTTCACACCTTTTTGTTATTTAGTTGAGATTTTATAAATAAATACACATATAATATTTATAATAATTTAAAATAACAATATTTTAGATATATGTTTGACAAAAAGCTATTCGAATAATATTTAATAAAAAACATACTGAGAATTAAATTTTAATTGTGTGTTAACATAAAATGTAAAAAATGATAAATATGTAGACAAGTAGAAATATGGAGTATTCGCGTTGTTAGTGTAATGTTCATATGAATATATAAGTGAATAAGTAAATGCCTTTTTTATAGCATAATAGAATTTTGCAATTAATATTTTAAAAAATAATTTATGAAAGACATTTTGAAAATATATTTATTATAAGAAATTTAGATACAAAGATAGATATTAATATAGTATTTTATCTTCGAGACACTCATTCGGATAATTTTTCTTATTATTCTTCATGACTCTATTATTATGTCTTCAATTGTATTGTCTATCATTTATAAACTAAACTAAACAAAAATATATCATAAAATATTGCAAATGTTAAAAGTTAAAAACAACAATTATTACTCTGCAAAGAAGTAATAACATGGTTCAAAACAATTGTGGTAGACATCAAAAATCAGTGTTGGAAAAATTAATAGTAGAATGACCAAGTTCAAAAACAATATATATATATATATATATATATATATATATATATATATATAATTGTTTTTATAATGATTTAAGTGATAAAACTTATTTTATATAATTATTTTAATTTATTATAAAAATTAATAATTAGAGATGTAAAAATTGACTAAAAGACCTAAAAAATAGGTTAGTATAGATAAAAAAATTATAGTCTAAATAGAATCAATCCAATTTTTGTCTGACCTATTTTGATCAAGTCTAAATGGATTTAGGTTAAATTAATCTGTAAGTTTATGGCCTGACCCATTTTATAAAATATTAATTATTATAATAAAATAAAAATAATATTATTTTATTAAAAGATATATATATATATATAATAAATTAATTTGATAATATATTTATATATATATATATATATATTATTTAGAAAAAATAATAAACTTTAAACATAACTTCATTTATTTTAGTCATTGTCTTCTTGTATGTTATTGTCTTCACATTTGTTTTTAAGATCAATAATTTAAGACGACATATTTTTAAATATATTTCTAAAATATTATGATGTGAGAGTATGTTGGATAATAAGACTAGCTTGTCAGATCAATCAAAATATAATTATAAAATTTATCGAAATACACCTAAATGCATTATTCAACATGATCTTCAATATAACTATGTTGAATGTGAGAGAGTTTGGGAAGTAAATAAAGTTTTGAATTCTGATTTTAAATAAATTACTAGAAATATTATAATTACAAATATTTATAACGTGTATTTAATACAAAAGAAAAAACTAAAAAAATGTGTTATCTAATATTTTTAGTAAAATATGTTTAACATGATGTAACTGCTATTTTTTATGATTTTATACAATAAAATTTTGAATGATATAATTTTTTTATGATGATATTTTTATGATTTTATTTTATTTGAATAAGTTATGAATTAATTTTAAATAAATAAATAAAATAATAATATATTATTTTTTTAAAACAAATTTTAAAAGTTATATAAATAAAAAAACTATTTTTAATTAGGTAAAAAATGACTTGTTAACCCGTTTGCCTAATATAAAACAAGACAAAAAAAATTAGCTCATTTTAAAATATAGATCAATCTGAATCATTAGATTTTTTTTACTTGATCGAGTATCAAGTCAACTAGGTTGAACCGTAAATTCTTATCGCTAATAATAATATATATATATATATATATATATATATATATATATTATTTTCACAATGCTAATTGAAAAATAAAATTAGAGATATTATATAGTTTGTATGTAGGAATTATTATTAATTGCATCCTTCAAAAATCATAATATAAAAAATTATAACATATGCAGATAATACATGAATTAGTGGATCCTTCCATGTTGAATTGACTAATCACACACATGATTAAAAATATATATACTTATTTTACATTATCTACTTAAATGAGAAACATGATAATTTATTAATTACTCTTTAATACGTGTCATTAAATTATTAATTATCATTTATTTTATTTTAATATAATATTTATTATACCTGCAGAAATAGTATCAATTTTAATGCAATTTTTTGTTCACTTTATCCTTCAATAATTTTATCTTTAAAATAAGCTCATAACTTAAATTCAGTGTTCATGTAAAATATGAACCATATCATAAATTCAAACAACAATGATGGCCGTTAATGAAGTAAATTACTTACATTAATATTATTAATTATATATTTTATTCTATGTATTTATTTAATGAAAATTAAATATTAATTTTAGTATTAAGTAATTGCATTAAATATTGGGTTATTACTCATATAATTTTTTAAAAACTAATTAATAATACTTAAAAATTCATGAATTTACGTATAATTCACAAATAATAATTGTAACATAATGATTTTAAGAACATGTATTTAAATATAAAGAAATCGTATTAGTTTACTTCAATTAATTATTAAAATATATTTTGCTCGAACTAAAAATTTACAGAAATTAAAAGTCAATTTCCTTAGTAGGAACTAAAACAAGAAATATGACCATATTATTATTATTTGTTTATTTATTGTATTTTGTGTCTATATTTTTTATTATTTATTTATTTATTGCTTTGGAAGGTTTTGGATGTAGCGAAGGAGGATTTGGAAGCGTGAATAAAAGGGACGGTCTGGGTTCCACTAAAAATACTGTGTTTTGTAGAGATATCCGAATAAAATATACAGTAAATAACAAAGTGGAAGCAATTTGCCGACTCCACTAACCACCCCTCCCAATTCCGGACTAGACTCTGCTTCTCTGCAACCTAAAATTCCTTTAAATTATCTATGTTCTTTCATTTCATGTTTGCGTGAATTTGGGAACATGCTGTGTTTGGGTCGATTCGCGGGGGTCTCCTACCCAATCAAATCCTACTCTTCTGCTTGGAGGGACAACACCAAAAACAGATTGCTGCCTCTGACTACAAACACCTCCAGATGGCGAGTCATGGCCCAAGAATCCGAATCTTCTTTTGCCCCCTCTCTTGATTCTGATGCTTCCGATAAAACCGCTGCTACTGGGTCCCTTTTCTCTTCTCTCTAAGCTTCTCGTTTTTTTTATGTCGAAAACCCAAAGTTGTTTGGGCTTTATTTTATTTTATTTTATTTTGTTTCTCTTTCTGCAGATTCTGCATCATAGAAGGCCCCGAAACGGTGCAGGATTTCGCCAAGATGGAGCTTCAAGAGATTCAGGATAACATTCGAAGTCGGAGGAACAAAATTTTCTTACAGATGGAAGAGGTCTCATACCACATGTTGCTATGCTCATACTAATTTATTTTTCACCACTTCTATTTTTGTACCCAATCAAACAAGTTGCCAGTACCACATGTGATATTACCATGCTCTCTTGGATATTTTTTTTCTTTGTTTTCATGATCTAACTTTGTTGGCACTAACTCTTCGCACAAACAATTGAAAAATCTATGGTAGTTAGTGTTGACTGAGAAGTCAAATGACTGATGATTTAAATAGCATATCAAATTATATTTTCTTCACCAGGGCTGGAATTCTTCAACCTGAACATCAGGTGGTTCTGTTACATAGTTTCCCAGCAAACTGGCCTTCTTGTCTTGATTACTGTTTTTTTCTTAGGCGTTGCTGCCTTGTTTTAAGTGACTTGACAAATGGATGATGGTGTTTATACGAGCTTTGATTTATCGAATAGCTGTAAATATTTAGTAGATGATGAAGGTCAGATAGAAATCATTCAATAACATATTTAATATTGAAGGTAGGATTGTTGGAATTTTTAACATGAAGTATAAGTATGTGTCCTATAATTTTGCGTAACATTTCTGAATCTTGACATCGCATGTTTCGTGATTTCCTGAATTTAGATTCTATTTAAAGAATAAATGTGAGATATTGTATGATGCTGCTGTTTGTGGGAGCATTTCATTCCAAAATGAAGGCCATACAGGGAGAAGGGCTCTTTAGTTGGACATTTTTTACTTTTAGTTTTGCTCTACTTTTGTGTAAGAGTCTGTTATCTTGTTACTTATAATTCCCGTGCTTTTTGTATATTAGATATTGAAGTGTTCTTGTTGGCTATGGTTCTATTCTTCTGTATCAAAATTTTTTTTATCTATCATTTTTCCGTCATCGTTTCCCAATTTAATAGAAAGAACCTGTTAGAAATTAAAATTTCCATTCTTGCATTATACTCTCTGGCAAGCCCTTTTCTCAAATAATATCATCTTATTTTGTAGGTTCGTAGGCTTAGGATACAGCAAAGAATTAAAAGTGCTGAACTTGGAATTTTAAAAGAAGAGCAAGAGAATGAACTTCCTAACTTCCCATCGTTCATTCCATTCTTGCCTCCTTTGGTAAGTTTCTTGGAGTTAGACTTAGTTCTGAATCATCCCAATTTTGCATTAATAACAAGTCACATTGATTTTGTCATTGTTCTCGATGAGCATGGAGAATTTACTTTTCATTGCAAGGGTTCAGAAAATTGGTGACTAATACATATGTTATTTGCAGACTTCAGCAAACCTCAAGCAATATTATGCAACCTGTTTTTCTCTTATTGCTGGGATAATTCTTTTCGGTGGTCTGCTTGCACCTAGTGTAAGATTTTTCTGCACCTAGTTATGTGTTTTCAATATTGAATATGCTATCAAATATGAAATTAGTGAGGAGATTTCTTTGTTAGTTGTTCCGCTTGCAATTCTGTCTGGATTAAATAACTTGGAAGAGATTGAGTATTATTAATTTTATTTTTTAATACTTTATCCTCAATGTGAACCCATCTCTTTATACTGGTGCAAGAAAAGTTCCAATACATATTCTACTCCATTTTTTCTTCTCATCAATAAGAAAAAAAAAAAGTAGGAATGTCAATCACTGTTGAGAAAGGGAAGACCCGAGCCAAAAATTGCAATATTTACTAATTATTCAGAATATTTCAATCAATTAGCTGGCCCTCTACCTCTTTCTAAGCTCTTATGACCTTTTGTTTTGGGTACATTATGAGTAACTAGTTGTTTCCGTGTAGCACTGTCCTTAATTATGTGTTTTTTTTGCTATGATGTACTACTATAATAGGAGGTACTGCAAATTGTTTCGGTACTGATTTATTTGTAAATTGTTCATATGTTCCTTTTGATATATCATGCTTAACTTTAAAAGAGTTATTGCCATATGAGCTATTAGAAAATGATGAGTTTAGAGAAGAGAGAAAACAGAAGAGAGTAGATCGCTCAGAATCTGAGTGATATACAATAGAACCTATTCTGAAAATCAGAGGACTACAAATGTATTCTCTGTGATGCAGAGAGTGAGCTATATATGGAGCATCTGAAGCACCTAACTGAATTTATAACTCTATAGAGTTGTATTAGGCTGTGGTAACTGATAACATAACAGACAGAAAATTTATTACAGCTTTCGTGACATCCAATAACATAGCTGCATTAGACACTAACATACACGGATGAAAGCTATACCTAATAATAGAAAAAACTGAGATGTGATTTATATGTTCTTATCTATATTTCATGGTGCCTTTGGCAAACATGAATCCATTAGTTTAGCAACTTTCAGTCGTTGAAACTCCTTTCTTTTTTTTATTTCTCAGCTGGAGCTTAAGCTTGGAATAGGGGGCACATCTTATGCAGATTTTATTGAAAGTGTGCATCTGCCTATGCAGCTGAGGTAGTGCCCTTTCTTGATCTGCCATTGCCTTGTGTACTCTCAGAATCAGATAATGATGAAGTTTTATGAACAGAACTGCATGTTATTTGTCTGTATACAGATATTTGATTAGTGTTAATTCTTTGGTGGTAAAGTGAATCTCACTGCATTATACTTTTTATTTCCTATCAACTAAATTCTGTTGGATATTCTAGTCAGGTTGATCCCATAGTGGCATCATTCTCTGGAGGAGCAGTTGGAGTAATCTCGGCATTAATGGTTGTTGAGATAAACAATGTAAAACAGCAGGAGCAGAAAAGATGCAAATACTGTCTTGGTACTGGTAAGATTTCAAAACTCAACTGATATCTGCATTTTGGGGTCAAACGTCTTAATCATGGAACTGAAATCTCTGTCATTCTTCTTCTCTTTGCAACCTTTCCTTTTCTTACTGCTTATCTATTCTACTTTCTAGTTGCACGGGGGATTCCTATTTATATCATTCCAAGTTGTATTCACAATAATCCTCTTTCTTCTGAGTGTTAGAGATTTCCCCCGATACTGTCTGGTTCTGGTCCACTGTTCACAATGTCGGGTGCCAAAACAAGACGCCTTTACTCTCTGTAGCATTGAATGCATATCTTACATCCTTTTTGTTAGAATGAAGCTTATTTAAAAATTATTCTAACATTCTCAGCATATAAATTGTTTGTTGTACCAAATTGGGAGGATCTCAAAGTTAGATTGAGTTTATTTATTCTAAGCTTGGTTTATATAATTTGTATGAGGAGTGATTGAATAAATCTTAAGCTTTATTGCTTATCACTCTGCTTACATGGTGTGGGTTGCATTTGTCAGCCAACTGGAGATTTTAGTAATGTATCTGTCCAAGCTAATTGCAAGAAAGTTGACATATGTATTGTACTTTTTCTGTCAGGATATCTTGCATGTGCTCGCTGTTCAAGCACTGGAGCACTTGTTCTGATTGAACCAGTATCCACGGTCAAAGGTGGAGACACGCCTCTTTCACCGCCTAAAACCGAGAGATGTTCAAATTGCTCTGGATCTGGCAAGGTTGGTCAGTTAGAAGTATTTACTTCATTGCCTGCTAGCTTTGCTCTAGTCATATTAGAGAACAGCCATAATGTACTTACCTATAGCTTAATACCTTTCATTTCAAACACATTGAAATTGTTTCCAACAACATTAATAAGTTTCAAATCATTAAATATTGTTCAAGATTTTTGGCTGTGTGTGCTTCCTGTCTGAAACAGTATTTTAGCCATAAAATCAATTTTTAAGCCTTTCAACAAGAGCTTGTTGAGTTTAAAATTTTTATACTAAATTTTACTATAACCTTCTGATATATATATATATATTACTTCACTTCAAAATCCCCTTTGACCAAAATCAATTTTACAAATCAAAATAAAATAATTTGGAATCAAGTTTACAAAAAACCTAAACTCACACTTAGGTAAATTGGGTATAAGTTTACATGGTATAGGCCCACAGCAACAGCTATTGTTGAGAATTATTTTGTGATGTGAAGATGCTCAACTTTGGTTGCAGGTTATGTGTCCAACATGCCTTTGTACTGGAATGGCCATGGCAAGCGAACATGATCCCCGAATTGATCCTTTCGATTAGAGGTTCAAAAGTTAAAGTGTTCCTAGCAAGCAATTTAAATTGTTTAATTTGTGTCTTATTTGTTTCCGTAGCGGAGAAATGGAATTTCTGTAAATATTTATAAACTCCATTTAAGAAAAAGTGATTAAGAATATATATAAACAGTTTCGCCTTTTTTCAGGATTGAAGGTGCAACGAGAGATATCATGATTACTTTTTGTGAATGGCTGCAGAACCTTTTTTCTCACCAATCGAATGCGAGCTCCACTTTTCAATTTCGCCTTAACAGACATTTTATTTTAAGTTCATGATTCTTATATTTTTAAAATAAATATTTTTTTCTATAAGTTAAATAAATCCATGCACTTTAATTCATTAAGCCTTTGTTTAGATAAGTGATAACAAAAGTGAGTAAGGAAGGAAAAAAATGATAATTAGAATGAAAATTAAAGTTATTTGATTGTAAAAGAAATTTTTTTTTTTAAGTTTTTAAATCTATACGTAGAGCGTAGGCATTCACTCTCCATTTAGAGATTTGTTTATCTTTTAATATATATAATCTTATAATGGCAAAACGACTTGATAGGGTAGGTTAATCCTTTTAGTTTGTAGTGTCTAAATTAGTGGGTCAAAGATAGGTAAGTTATTGGTTATAAAGAAAATATTTATATATTAAAATTATAATAAAAAAATATTATGTTTTAATGTCAGTAATTGTTTTAATTTGGTCATTGATTTGTCAGTTTGTTTTTTGATGAGACAGATTTTGCGGTAGTTAATCTTAAGTATAGTGAATTAATATGTTCTATCCGTTTTTACATATTAAAGATGGAACAAAACAAAATAGGATCAATTTACTCATTTTGTTACCTACATATATTATATAATGATACACAAAATACATGTATTAAAGAAAATATAATTTGTAAAAGTACAATAATAAAAAATACTAGAACTCTAAAATTATATGTGTGACATTTTTTTTATTATTATTTATATAAGAGTTACATATATAAAAAGTAATTTACATCATTATATATATATATATATATATATATATATATATATTTTAAATATAATGAATTTTATTTTTCATTCCTTTTATTTTTATTACAATTATATAAATATCTATATTGCTTGTAGTAAACAAACTGATTAAGGGGTTTTAGTAAAAGTTAGGAGGTATACAAAAGATAATTACTACCTGGTTCATCTAACATAATGAGATTTTCCATATTAGATGCATATGTGAATATTGATAATCTTGTCCCTTTAAAAGTAATCGAGTTGCCTATAACTTTCGTGTTCCAAGTAGTTCCTAGAAAGAAGACAGTGATGCTTGCAGAAAAGGAAGTTAGAATATTTGGCACCTCCATCTACTTAAGATGGTATTTAAATAAAACATGTACAAAAGATCATAATAGGGATTGAAAACATTTATCATTTACAATAATACAATCTTATATATATATATATATATATATATATATATATATATTTCAATTTCCTCAACATATTCTATTTTATAAAGATTTAAATTAAATTTGTAATGACTAGTCAGGATAAATGAGTTCAATTTTAATCACTCTCTCAGTGATATTTATTCATTTAAATCTCCAAGGTCCAACCTCCATCTACAATATTATTAAATCTTCATAAATAAATATTATTATTTAAAAATAATTAAATAATATAAATATAAATTAATAAATAGAATTGGTGCATAAGTAGAGATAAAATAAAATAAACAGAGCAGGAATAGTACATAACTAGAGATAATTATAATAGGACCAAGTACATAACTAGAGATAATTAAAATAGGACCAGTGCAAGACTAGAGAAGAATAAATAAACATAAGGTAGGACAGTTAGAGATAAATAAACAAGTAACTAAATAAATAGAATGAGGTTAGGACACCTCACTCCACAACTATAATAAAAATAAAATAGATTTAATGATAATATTATCCTCCTCTACCTTAAGAACGGTAGATAATGTACCAAAATTTTCCAGAGGTAACTTGTCTTCCTCTTCCTTTCTTTCTTTCTCCCTTTCTCTCCCTCTCTTCTTTCTTTCGTTCCCTCTCTCTTCTCTCTGTCTTTTTCTTCTTCTCCCTTTTTTCCTCCCATAACCCTTATTTATAATCATAAATAAATAATTATTTTTTTACTTGCATTTAATGCAAAAGATAAGATTAGATTATTACTTATTATTTATTATTTTAATCATTATTTCTTAAAGAGATAAGGTCATGTTTATCTTCTTTTTTATTTATTACAATGTTCCTATTATATAGAACAAATGACATTCATAATTATGCACAAGTGCATATTCATCAAATATATGTAACGTACTAGTAATAGATATTTGTCATCTTTTTTTTTTTTCTTTTTATTTAATGTAGATTCATGTACTTGCATTATACAATAGATGTGACCTGTTATAGTACAAATATATATATATATATATATATATATATATATATATATATATATATATTTCCATAAATTTGTCTCTTTTTTTTATTTAAAATACCTAAAATATTATAAAAATTTTACATAAATTAATTTGAGATATTACATTTCTCCCATCCTTACAGAAATTTCGTCCTCGAAATTTTTAGCGACTAAAACAGAGATGAGGACAACTTTCTTTGATTATCTTTTTTAATTCCCACGTAACATCCCCAATACTCGATTCCAAACAACATTTACTAATGAAATTTGTCTTTCTCTCAGTTGCTTGATCTTCATATCTGTAATCTGTAGAGACATTGTTTCAAATGTAATGTTATCCTTTAATTATACTGTATCTGACATTATTACATGAAAAGGGTCAGAAATATATTTTCTTAACTGAGACACATGAAACACATTATGAAGATTAGAAAGGAAAAGAGGGTAAAGAAATTTGGTAAGCAACATGACATATTTTTCTAAGAATTTGATAAGGACCAATAAATCGAGGAGTGAGTTTCTTTGCTTTCATTATTCTACTAACTCCAGTTATCGGTATTAGTTTCAAGAATATGTGTTCACCTTCTTGGAATTCAAGGGGTCATCTTCTTTTGTCAGCATAACTTTTTTGTCGACTTTGAGTTGTTCTTAATTTTTCCCTAATCATCTTAATTTTTTCCGTGGTTTGTTGAATCATGTTAGGACCTAAGGTTAAATTTTCTCCAGTCTCAAACCAACATAAAGGTATCCTACATTTTCTCCCATACAATGCCTCATAGGGTGTCATACCTATGCTAGAATGGAAACTGTTGTTGTAAGTAAATTTAATTAATGATAAGTGTCTCAACTACCAGAATCTTCTAACACACATGCTCTCAACAAATCTTCCAAGGACTGGATGGTTCTTTCTGATTGTCCATCAGTTTGAAGATGATAAGCTGAGCTAAGATGAAGCTTAGTTCCTAAGGCTTGATGTAGGCTCCCCCAGAATTTAGAAGTAAACCTAGGATCCCTATTAGAAATAATACTAGATGGAACTCCATGTAACCTCACAATTTCTTTTATGTATAATTTTTTCAGTTTCTCTAATGAATACCTAATGTTAATGGGTAGAAAATGAGTAGACTTTGTCAATCTATCCACGATAACCCATATGTAATCAAATTTTTGAATTGTTTGTGGTAAACCAACTATAAAGTCCATTGCAATATTATCCCATTTCCACTCAAGTATGTCTAAAGATTGTAGCATTCCTGCAGACCTTTGATGTTATATCTTAGCTTTTTGACAGACTAAGCATGATGCTACATATTGTGCTACTTGCTTCTTCATTTTAGGCCACCAAAATATTTTCTTAAGATCTTGATACATTTTTGGTGTGCCTGAATGTATGTTTAATTTACTCTTATGTGCTTCGTCTAAAATCAGCTTCCTAATCTCTATATTATTAGGCACACATATCCTACCATTAAATCTCAAAATTTTTGTTTTATGTATGTCAAAATTTTCTCCATTCTTTTGTCCTATCAACTTCTTTTTTTTTTTGAATAAATTCCTCACTTACTTGAGCCTCTTGGATTTGTCTTTGTAATTCACTAGTAATTTGAGTTAAGTTTAATTTTATTCTATCAGGGTTCATGGTAATTGATAAATTCATGTTTGTGAACTCTTCTAGCATCGTCTCATGAATCATATGGGAAGAAACATGTAAAGATTTTCTGCTTAAAGCGTCTGCTACTACATTTTCCTTTCCTAGATGGTAATGCAATTCAAAATCATAATCTTTCAAAAATTCCATCCATTTTCTTTGTCTCATATTTAATTCTTTTTTATCAAACAAATATTTAAGACTTTTATGATCACTAAAAACCTCAAACTTGCCACCATACACATAATGTCTCCATATTTTGAGTGCAAAAACGATGGTGGCTAGTTCTAGATCGTGAGTTGAATAATTTTTCTTATGTGTTCTTAATTGTCTTGAAACATATGCAACTACCCTTCTATCTTGCATAAGAACACATCCTAATCCTATTTTGGAAGCATCACAAAATGTCCAGTTGAGTTAGGTAATGCTAGTACAAGGGAAGTGGTTAATCTTTTCTTAAGTTCTTGAAAACTATTTTCACATTTTTCTATCCATTCAAAAGTTTGACCTTTCTTGGTAAGTTGGGTTAAAGACATAGTCATTTTAGAAAATCCTTCAATAAATCTCCTATAATATCCTGCAAAACTAGGAAACTACGAATCTTAGTCACTGTTTTTGGTGGTTCCCATTGTAGAATTGTTTCCACCTTAGTTGGGTCTACTCGACACTCCCTCTTTGGAAATCACATGAACTAAAAATTTTACTTCTTTTTCTTCTTCTCCCTCTCTCTTCTCTCTGTCTTTTTCTTCTTCTCCCTTTCTCCATTCTGTCACCCTTATTTATAATCATAAATAATTAATTATTTTTTTTACTTACATTTAATGCAAGAGATAAGATAAGATTAGATTATTATTTATTATTTTAATCATTATCTCTTAAAGAGATAAGGTCATGACTATCCTTTTTCTTATTACAATGTTCCTATTATATAGAACAAATGACATCCACAATTAATGCACAAATACAGATTCATCAAATATATGTAACGTACCAGTAATAGATATTTGTCATTTTTTTTCTTTTTTTTTTCTTTTTTTTTTATTTAATGCATATTCATGTATTTGCATTGTACCCGTTATAGTACAAATATATATATATATATATATATATATATATATATATATTTTTTTTTTCATTTATTTATTTCCATAAATTAGTTTTTTTTTTAATTTAAAATACTTAAAATATTATAAAAATTTTACATAAATTAATTTGAGATGTTACAATATATCTGTGAAAGATGTGAACTTTAACAAAATCTTTTCAATTTGAAATTTAAAGTTAAGGATTTGCTTGATCAAATTTTAGATTCATATAAAACTAATAATTTTTTTCTTAATAATATCAAATTAAATAATAAAATATTTAAATATTTAAAGTTTTTTTTTCATGAATTAGAACAATTTTTTATGTTATTTTTAAAAATAAATATAATTTTTATTAATAACAAAAATCATAAAAACATCAAAATAATGTAATTTTGAATTTAAATTATCAATTTTAAGTAGTTTTTAAAAAAAATTACGTAATTAAATTATATTAAGTAACACGACCTCGTCATTGAAAAGAAGTCGTGTTGTCAAGGTTTCAATTTTTTTTAGTCTTTTGTTATTTAAAAAAACAAAAATTAAAATCATGTTTTTTAAGACTGCCTCTATTTTATAAAGTCATTATATTAAATATGATTTACTTTTACATAATTTAAAAAAAATTATTTTAAATTAGTAATTTAGATTTAAAATTTCACTGTTTTAATGTTTTTCCTAACAAAAATACCCTATTATATATAAAATAAATAAAAAATGTTACTTTTATTTTATCTTTTTCTATTAATTGTACAATACTTAATAAAATTCACTTATAGGAAGAATAGTTAAATAACATCAAAATATTATTTATCTATGCGCATATATATATATATATATATATATATATATATATATATATATATATATATATATATATATATATATATATATATATATATATATAATATTCCTCCAAACTCCATATTGCACTCGAATTGTCATTGATTTTTTTCTTAGATACCTTCCTAGGTAATTTTAATGAATTTTTGTTAATCTGTGACATAACACAAGGGTATTTATTATGTATTAATATATTCTAATTGCTTAAAAAACATCAAATATTTTTTTTATTTTTTTTACAAATAAATACTTTGACCACCATTCACAACTAACTCTAGCATCTCGTGATTTTCATTCTGTTGACATGCAAATCCATGATGATAATGGGTGTGTATATAAGAATTTATGAATGTTAATAACTTTCTTAATGATAGTCGCTTATTTATTGAAAAGGAAGATAAACTTAAAACAGATTTTGATAATTCTTTTATTAATTTTTAAATTAAACACACTTATTTTAGTATTTTTTTTAATATTAAACAACAATAATTAAAGTATTATACACCTTATATATAAAAAATATACGAGGAGAATGTAATTTTACAACGAGAAAAAGTTAACCCATGATTCACTAGTAAAACCTTTTTTTATTTGTATTCGTTAATTATTTGTTAACCTAGATGTTAATATTTTTGTACTGATTGAATGATATATTATATCGAACTCAAATTATTTAATTTTGGAATTTTGGGACCAAATATGTAAAACCAAAATTGCATAATGGGAAAACTACAAGCACTGTGGATTTAAGAAAAAAAAATAAAAATATTGACTTTGAAAACAAATTAAACATTGATAAACTAAAAGACGAAATAATTGTTTATTTTCTCATTCGTGCAAGATCACGCAAAGAATACTTCTGTTGATACTTCAGATCAATTTTAAAAATTTAGTTAAATGAATCATATTGCAATTATAATCATCACGCAAAGAACACTGCTATGGAGAGTTAAAAACAATATAAGAATTAATTTAGTTAAATTATACTGCAATTTAAAAGAAAAAAAAGTTAAACTATACTGAAATTATAAAGTTTTTGCAAAATAATTTTAAACGTGTAGATCGTGATATCCTTTATTTTATTTTTTTACTAATAATAATTAATAATAAAATAATTTTTAAATTCAATTTGTAATACATTAGTCGATTTTGTAAAGTAATTAAATATTGATAGATTTTGAAAAAAAAAAAAAAGAGTATTTGATTTATATGCAAAGTAGAGAGGTGGTGATTGATGCGTTGAATTAAAGGAAGAAGGGTTGAGAAATGGTGCTATAAAAAGTAAGTAGAAATAGAGATAAGTGTGTTGAAAATGTATTTGAATCTGATAAATAGGAAAAGAGGAAGAAGATGGATAAAAGTGTTGATGCCGAGATTGTGATCGTGGGAGGTGGTATATGCGGCCTTGCGACAGCCCTTGCCCTTCACAGGTTTTCTTCCCTCTCTCTCATTCTTTCACCTTCATCGTTACAATTTTCTGCGATTCGAATAACAATATTCAATGCCGTTCAGCAATTTCTATTGTGTGATGAGTGAGTAATAATAGATATATACATGATTTCACGCTGTTCATGCGCCATTAGATATCACCTATCTATACCAAATACCAATGACATGTTTCGGTTTTTTATTTCGTCGTTTGCGAAACTAAAAAATATTGCATATGAAAATGAAGAATCAAATCACACCCTTAACGTAATTCCATATCATATGAGATTCCAAATGGATTTGAATCATGATTTGATGCATTAACTGTTTCTTCATACCGTATGAGATTCCATTTGCATTAACTTAATTACTTTCTAGGAAGAGAATTAAAAGTGTGGTGTTGGAAAGATCAGAGACTGTACGAGCAACAGGAGCAGCTATAATAGTGCAGACAAATGGGTGGCGTGCACTTGATCAGCTTGGTATTGGTTCAACACTTAGAGAAACTGCTATTCAAATACAGAGGTAACATCTTCTCATATAATCATATTGCACCCGTATATCATATTTACACACAATAAAATCAATTTTACATGTAGTTTTTCAAGCATTTTCTATGTTTTTTTTGTCAGAATTATAATTTTACTCAGCTTCAATGCAAACTTATATATTACACAAATTATCCATATGAATCCAACTTTAATCAAAGAATGATTCTAGATATGTTTCATGGAGTTTATGACAATTTAACGATGTTTCATGGTTGATGGAGAGAAATGTTGACACGTCACTCGTGCAAAAAAGGGCTTTTACGTCAGGTATTTAGGGCTTTTTACGTCGTATTTAAGTCCGACGTTAAAGCGGGAGACATAAATTTACGTCGGACCCTTTTGCCCGACGTAGATTTACGTCAGTTATCAAGATCCGACGTAGATTTACACTAAACAGACGTAAAAACCTTTTCAATTTAAAAAAAAACAGAAAATTTACGTCGCATATGGTATACGCGACGTAAATTTACTGTTTTTTTTTTAATTGGGTTTATTTATTCTGTTTTACAACTAAAACCTGCAAATACACCATACAATCCAGACAGATCCAGAGGTTCAGTTTTCTTTAGCTAGTAAATTAAAAATATAATATTATATAATTCAAACTACATAATAAAACAATATAATACAAACATACAAACTAAAAAATCTATTACAAACTAAGCTACCTATACAAACTAAGCTACCTATACAAACTAAACTAAACTACATAATACACACAATATAATATGAACAAGAACTTAAAAAATAATGTACTAGAATTGTTGAACAAAAAATTTTGCCCATTGTTCTCTAATTTACGTAATGTCGGATTCCGGTAATGGAGATGGATCTTGAAATACCCGAAACATGAACTTGACTCTTGTAAGCATGCAACATGAATAAAGTTAAATAAACTTAACTAATGTTAAAAGTAATTACCTCAGTCCAAGAATCAATTAAACCCGCACAAACTATGACTCTCATCCAATACATTACATAGTAACCACATTCCAACGAGTCAGTTTGTTTATTACACTGAAATGATGAAAAAACCATAATATTATTTTCAAAATTGCAATACAAACAATAATTATGGTATTCACTTATATAAATAAGTTTCTAACCTTAGGATAAATGAACTGCAAAGTCTTTGTTCTAGGTTTTCCACTTAGAACATTAGTTTCAGACACGATTCTAAGTGAAAAAAAGTCATATATTATTCAATATGTATTCACAATTTAAAAACATAGTTAATGAATAAAAGATAAAGTTACCCTTGTAATAAGTTTTTCATTTCTTGACTCGGTTTCCGATGTAATGAACAAAACCACCACGATGTAATCCCGGGGATGATTACAATTAACCGCCAATGGGACCTACATTGTATGACATAAAAATTAGTTACAAAAATATAAATTAAAATACAAATTAAAATACTAACCCTTCAATGTATGGAGCCAAATATATATGTCTTCTTGAGTCACTCATCCATGTTTGCATATATTGTTGGATTCCAACCTTTGTATTTCCAGATTTTTGGATGGATTGAGGCTCAATAAATCCGTATACTTCGGATTTTTCTTGTTCCACACTCAAATTGTCAAGGTACCTAAAACAATTAATTATAAGTTGAATATAATTATTATAATCTTAGAAACAAAAATGAAAATGACTTACATTGCCCACAATTGTATGATGGAAATGTTTAACATGCAATTTCCCCAGCAATTTCTAAAGCATCGGGCAAGGAAATGTACAATGGAACACTTGGAATTGTCAATTCCAAACACTCTAACACCCCATTGTATCTCGACACGGTCTCTTCCTCAAGCGTGGTAATACGACTAACAACATAGAGATGGGATCATCATCACATTCAGTCGGATCCTCATCAATAATAGGTTGTTTTTTATGCTTAACACGACGCAAGTCCTCCTAAACAAATGATAACAATTAATTAAACATTTATATAATTATAATACTAAAAGAGAGTAAATAGACAATATGTATGTATATATATATATATATATATATATATATATATATATATATATACACATATAGATACTACTTGGTCTCGATAGTGGCATAACCAAACGTCTTGGCCAAGCCAAGAATGTCCCGCTTGCTCGCCCCACTAATTGAATCTCTTCATTAGGAAAAGGCACTTGGAGCATTAGCATCATGAACTTCATCAACTACTACTCGTGTCCGAGCCCGGTCGTAGGGGGACACCATGGATGGTTAAGCCACCCTCAAAAACTCGACCAACGAGCCACTAGACGCGGGGGTCATCTTCAACATATAACTCACACTCGGTGTGATGCATCGATCTCGAGTATATTCTCCTGAAGGATCAACAGTAGTAGCAAGCACAACTCCCTTTAGTGCTGACTCGAACAATATCATGTTCAATTGTTTGAGGTGTTCCTTGAGTCCGTTGCTTGAGAGCGGCGAGAGATTCAATTTTCTCATCAAACTCTTGCTGCAAGGACTGCCTTATTTGATTTAACTTTTCTTCAAACTGCATCTCCATTTTATGCAAGGCCTCCCGGCCGCAAGAGTCGGCAGTGGTCCTTCGTGAAGTTGGACCAAAGTAATCACGAAGGCCCCGGGTTCCACCAGCACCACGCACACGTCCCGAGTAATCTAGTTTTCCTATGGTCGTCGCCAATATATCTTGTCTACCATGAGGAATAAATGATCCTTGGTCGGTCTCGCTCAACTAAATCATCCTACAACACATTAACAATAATTAAGTCATACACTAACTTTCAAATTAGAATCAATTCAAATTGACATTATAACTTACGATTTTCTCGAGCAATGATTCGTGCGGACTCGGAAGTCATTTGTCCATCGAATTTTGTCCGGGCTGCCTTCCACATCCGATAGCGAGGGGTGAGATGCAAAGTCGGTAGAATCAACTCCTGCCGACTCTTCTCTCGGATTTCATGAGACGTTGCTCCAATAATGCATACCCTCCTCGTGACAATACATGGGGTGCATCATTCAACCTCGACGTTGTTGGGCGGCTTGTCTTTTATCCTCGCCAAGAGGGGTCCATTCGGTCGGCACAAAACTCGTAACCAATCCTCCTCACTAATTTGATACTTTAGACGAGGAGATTCATCTCGAAACTTTCCAAATACATACTCCCGTGTCAAGAAAGTCTTAAAGTCCCTCCATCTAATGGCAATGGAGGATAAAATCTTCTTCCTCATCACCTCGGTGTTAGGAACATCAAAATTTTGCTGTGAAATGACCAATAAATGTTAAATTCAATTAATAATGATATATAAAGTATTCAACAAATATAGAAATACCTGAACATCCTGCCACATGAGATTCTTCTCGGTTTCCTCAACATCATCCCAAGATGGAGTAGTAATCGGAACATGGTGTCGAGCTAGTAGTCCCAAATAGCTCTTAAACTTAGCAGGCATTTGGGCCGGATGCCTTACCGGAACGTGGATCAACTTCAACTTGAGTTTTCTCTCTAGCTACCCTCCTTGCTGTCAACCCCTTTAACCGAGTGACAGATCTACCTTTATCACCACTTTCGCTCCTGCCACTACCACTACCACTACCAGTACCAGCTGTGGAATCCGACATATCCTGAAAAACAAAACAATATGAAGTCAACATACTTTATAAGTTTGAATAAAAAGAACTAGAAAATGTGAAGATAAACACCTATTATGTTGGTATGTTTTCCCATATCCCTTCACCATGATCACTTCGAATTGCATGTATGTCATCAACTTCATTGTCAACTATGTTATCAAATGGTCTACTTGAAAATGAAGGTGTTTCATGTATATCTAGAGACTCATCTTCATGAATTCCGTGCATGTTTCTTCCTTCTAGGACAATTGACCATCTCTCATTACATGGATCCTTGACATAAAATATTTGTCTCGCTTGATATGCCAAAATAAAAGGTTCATCCTTATACCCAACTTTACTCAAATCAACCAAAGTAAATCCTAGGTCATCTGTTCGCACACCCGTATTCCCTTTAACCCATTTACACTTGAAGACAGGCACCCTAAAAGTAACATAATCAATTTCCCATATCTCTTGTATGACCCCAAAATAACTCATAGAAGCTTGTGATAGGATTTTTGTCTTTAGAACTAGAAAAATGCATAGATTCAGCTTGAATTGTGACCCCACTATTTTGTACTCTACCTTTATCATCTTCTATTTTTGAGTAGAAACAATAGTTATTAATGTCATACCCACCAAATGTAATGACATCACTATTAGGCCCACGAGCAAGTCTCAAAAGTGTTTCGAAGCATTAATCTCAACATATACCCTTTTTTAAACCAAGAAAGGAAACTTTTGTTATGTTCATTCAATACCCATTTTTCATTCATTCGTGGATGTGTTGCCTTTATTTCGGTTATGTGTTGTGATTTGTAAGGGATTACTTCATCGGTGTTGTTCAATATGTATAAGTGTACTTGATCAACTTCTTTCCGACTAACATTTTTAATCTTCAAATTTCGAGTACCCTTACCTTCACATCTTCCATCATGTCTCATCTTAGGAATACCTATTGGTTCTGATTTTGACATGTATCCTTGACAAAACTCAATGGCTTCTTCTGCAATGTACCTTTCCACTATAGAAGCTTCTGGCCTGTACTGATTCTTCACATATCCTTTTAAGATCTTCATGTATCTCTCAACAGGATACATCCATCTAAGAAAAATTGGACCACATAACCGAATTTCCCTTACCAAATGGACTATCAAATGCACCATGATATCAAAAAATGAAGGGGGAAAATACATTTCTAACTGGCACACTATTACAATTGTTTCATTTTCTAATTCATCTAACTTTTTTGGATCAATTACCTTTTTACAAATGGCGTTGAAAAATAAACATAACCGGGTAATAGCAATTCTAACAGAAGTTGGTAAGATGTTTCGAATAGCCACTAGTAAAAGTTGTTGCATCAACACATGACAATCATGAGACTTTAAACCAACTAATTTCAACTCTTGCATAGACACAAGACTCTTAACATTTGAGGAGTATCCTTGTGGCACTTTGACCTCACGTAAACACTCACAAAAGCTTCTCTTTTCTTTCTTTGATAGAGTATGACAAGCTGGAGGTAAGTAAGTGCGTTTTCCAACCGATTGTGGATGTAATTCGAACGTATACCCATGTCTGCCAAATCTTGTCTTGCTTTTATTCCATCTTTTGTCTTTCCTTTTATGTTAAGCAATGTCCCAATTATACTATCACAAACATTTTTTTCAACATGCATCACATCTATACGAGTGTCTAACTTCCAACTTACACCAATAAGGAAGATTGAAGAATATAGATTGTTTCTTCCAAATGTTTTTCTCAGTGGATTTCTTTTGGGTCTTTCCAAACACAATATTAATATTTTTCACTTGCTCATATACTTGTTCACCATTGCGTGGTACTGATGCAACCGCATTCTCCTGACATCCATTAAATGCTTTTTTCATTTTACGATATGGATGATTAGCAACTAGAAACTTTCTATGCCTATTGTACGCAGTTTTTTGTCCATGTTTCAATTGGATATAACTTGTGTCTTCTTGACATATAGGACATGCTAAATGACCTTTCACACTATAACCGCTCAAATTACCATATGCTTGGAAAATCATTTATAGTACAAAATAACATTGCACGCAACCTCGAAATTTACTTCGTGATATGAATCAAATACATCCACTCCTGTTTCCCACAACATTTTCAAATCATCAATTAAAGGACTAAGATATACATCTATGTCATTTCCTAGTTGTCGAGGTCCCGAAATCATCATAGATAACATCATATATTTTCTCTTCATGCATAACCAAGGAGGCAAATTGTAAATGATCAACATAATCTGGCCATGAACTATGTTTACTACTTAAATTTCCATAAGGATTCATCCCATCTGTAGCTAATCCAATTCTCAAGTTTCTTGGCTCTGCACCAAATTATGGAAAGGTTTCATCAATCCTTTTCCATTGTGGAGAATCAGCTGGATGTCGAAGAAGATTGTCACATTTTCTACCATTTGCATGCCATGTCAAGTTTCTTGCATCTTCTTTTATGGCAAATAATCTTTTAAACCTAGGTATAATTGGCAAATACCATAACACCTTAGCAGGGGGACCATCTACTTCTTCCTCACCACTACTTTCCTCAACTTTGTTTTTGAACCTCGACAAACCACATGTCGGACACATCTTTAATTTAGCAAAATCATTTACTGTACAATATACAATCATTAGGACATGCATGTATTTTATTGTACTCTAAACCCATTGGACATAATATCTTCTTTGCCTCATAGTTACGAATAGGTAATGTATTATCTTCAGGAAGCATCTCCTTCAACAACTCCAATAATTCGGTGAAACTTTTATCAGTCCATCCATTTCTTGCTTTTAAAGTAAACAATTTTAAAGTTGTCGATAATCTTGTAAAACTACATCCTATGTACAATTGTTGCGCAAAATCAGATTTCAAAGAATCATATAGATGTGCTTTCATAAAATTTTCTTCACCAATATCACGTATCATATCCTCTAGATTATCATCCATCCCTTCATCAAAATTGTCTGTAGTTGACACAGCTTGGGATGTCTAATATTTCTCCATGCCATGTCCATATTGTATAACTCTTAATAATACCATAAACAAACAAGTGATCACGTATATCCTCAAGTTTATGACGAATTTGATTCAAACAACGAACACATGGACAATAATATGTCCCTTTCATAGCTTTTCCATTTTCACTAGCAAATTTCAAAAATTCCTCAACTCCCTTTTCGTACTCTTCACTAATACGACGTGCATTCATCCAACTTCGATTCATATTTATGTTATAAAGTTTCGTCACTCCTAGAGATTTAAAAATTATATGTAAAAAAAATTAATATACAAACAACAAAACACGTTCCAACAACAATGGAGTGTGTAAACCGAATGCACTCAAACAAATAAACAAATAATTACATTCCAATAACAATCCAGTGGAGACATTCATACTATAACGTGATTGAGATCCCAAAAAACAATCACGGATTCAATGTAAACATATAGCAATGACATAGAACACTAACCTCGAGTGTAGACGAAAACTGATTTCAAACTCGAATCCAATCGGGGAGAAAGATCAAGTTCGTCAAATGACACGATAATGTAGATGTTTTTCACTGTAAAACTGCTCGGTGTGCAGAGGTAGCTGTTGCCATCGTTCTCGTCGTCGTTCTCAAAAACCCTGGTTGCGCGAGACTAGGAAGTGGGTCTGGAGGGAAATAAAATAAGCTTTTTACGTCGCGCATCCCAGTACGCGACGTAAAAAGCCATCTTTTACGTCGCGCCTCCCAGGTGCGACGTAAAAGAGGCTTTTTACGTCGCATACTGGGATGTGCGACGTAAAATTTTTGTCCCATATTTACAAAATTGCCACCGCGTTTTATTTACGTCGAATATACATACATGCGACGACAATTGAGTGACGTAAAAACCCTATTCTGTACTAGTGCGTATATATACTCAGTTTCAAAAATGTTTACTGTTAACTGTCATTTTTGTTATATTGGTTTTGCGTTATATAAACTAAGTGCGATGATCCACATATAAAAGACTTAAAAAGGCAAAAAAAAAAAAGTTATAATAACTAAAAGGGTGTAGAAGTAAGTGTGAAATATTAAAGTTAGTTGCTGCAGTATTAAGTTCATTTTGAAGAATTTTGTTACTTATTTCAATTTGTTTTATGGTATAAATATTTGAGCAAATTTGTCAAATCATATATGATATGTTTATAAGGAATTTTCAACATATTCTAATAAATTCTTCTAGACTGCTTACGAAAATAACCATTAAAAATTATACATAAGTGTATTATTAATAAGTCTTTATCCAAATAAATTCTTAATTATACATTCTTTTCAAGAGTATGCTATATTTAACTTGTCATTATAGGATGGAAATGAATTAGAGCATTTTTAATAAGAATTGTTTATTAAGATGTTTAACTAAATTATTAATTGTTTGAATTTTTTTTTATTACAAGAATTACATGAGATATATAAGTTGTTTAACTTTTTTTTTATAATTATTTTATCAAGAAACTTATAAAAATAAACAGAAAAAAAGAAGAAGAAGTAAGAATAAGAAAGAATGCATTTATTTTAAATTTATTAAAAAAAAATAATAAAATAATAATAAAATAATACCAATGATGAGTTATTTAAAATTAATGTGTGATTATAAATTTTTATTTTATATTTTTCAAAAAATAATTCATATAAATTACTCTATTGGAATACCCTTGTAATATTTTTATCTTTTCTCTCATTTCTTAATTTCTTGGTTTCATGTTTATGAGTTCCGCTATTTATTTTTTAATGGTTAAACTATTTATTTTGTATTTAAAATTGTTTTATTTTATGGTTATAATTGTTTTGTTTTAAGTTTTAATCGGATGTCTCGAATTATTTATTTATTTTAAGTTTTATTTAGAATAATATGAATTTTAGTTTTTAACACAAATATTAAAAAATTTTGTCCTTATTGTTTGAATTAGGTAAAACTTTCTGTTATGTAAAATTACTTAAAAAAAAAAATCTAAAGAGGACGAACTGCTAAAAAAATATTCAACAATTAAAACTTATTATTATTTTTATATGTTAAAATGTGAATCACTACAGAACCAATAATCAAATACAGAGTTTAATTTTTTTATAATCAAGTGTTATTTGAATCGCTTTATACTTTTGTAAACCGTTTCGATGGTAACATGGCTCTTATTTTATATATTTCTTGGACAAATCAAATCAAGTATGTAATAAATAACTACTATAGAAGATCCATAATTGATACCATTTATTTTTTTGTGATGAACAATTTTGTTAGTTAAAGTAGGCGAATCATAGTTTAAATCTCTATCAAGGCACTCACATAGGATATATATGACAAAAAGGAAACGTTTTTCCCTTTCAAATTAAAATTATACAAAAACACAAAGATCTACCTTTACAAAGCATCATAATTAGATATCGAAAGCATCGTCGTCATCATCATCTCATAACGTTTAACCAATAAAATAACAAAATGTATATTTCAGGGGAAGATTCATATCTCTTAACGAGGCTGAGCCAATGGAATTTCCATTTGGGTGAGTTGCAGGGTAATGCAAGTTGAAATTGAGGGAATGAAAGGTCTCATAGTTAACTTGATTTTGCTAATCAATTGAACAGGGTTAGTCAGGAGTTTCGTTGTTTAAAGCGTACTGATCTGGTCAAAGCCATGGCCGATAATTTACCAACAGGGACTATACGTACCAACTGTCAAGTGCTTTCTGTAGAAATAGATCCTGCAACGAAGTTTCCACGCCTTATGCTTAGCAATGGAAGTGTTCTTGAAGCCAAAGTATGTTTGTGTCTTTTCTAGATTAATTTACACGAAACCAATGTTTTTAGATTAATGCTACGAGTGAGAAAATTGAAAGAGATTGAATTCTTGTGCAGTAAATTGATGTCATTGATGTATCAGGTTGTTATTGGATGTGATGGTGTGAACTCTGCCATTGGAAGCATGTTTGGGTTACACAAAGCGACGCTGTCGCTCTTCTCCACAACTGTTGCACGGGGCTTCACAAATTATTCAAATGGTCATCAGTTTGCCAGTGAGTTTGTCATGATGATCAAAGGTCAAGTCCAACTCGGAAGAATTCCACTGTCTGACAAGCTCGTTTATTGGTTTGTGACAAAGCCAAGGACTTCTCAAGGTCACTCCTTTTATCTTGTAAATATATATGTTAAGGTTCTTCATCTGGTTTTACTCAAATGTGAGAACTAATTTTGTTAAATGAAAAGCAGATTCAACAATTTGGAAAGACCCAGTTCTCATTAGACAATCGTTGATAGATTCAATGAAAGGTTTCCCAGAAGAGGCGATAGACATGATGAGAAATTGCAAGTTGAGCTTCTTGCATCTCACTGAGTTGAAGTATCGGGCACCGTGGGAGTTGCTCTTTAACAAGTTCAGGAAAGGAACTGTAACAATTGCTGGTGATGCAATGCATGCCACAGGCCCATTCGTTGCACAGGGTGGCTCGGCCTCCATAGAAGATGCTATTGTTCTTGCTAGATGCCTCGCACAAAAGATGCAAAATAATACCAAGAAGGTGGAAGACTCTGAAATAAACATAGCAGTGGCAGTGGCAGAGGAAGCAATTGATCAATATGTGAAAGAAAGGAAGATGAGAAACTTTTGGCTCTCTTTCCATTCCTTCCTTGTTGGGAAGAAACTTGACACAAAATCATCCATAGTCAGGTTCATTATCCTTGCAATCATGTCTGTTCTGTTCAGAGACCCCGATTGGCATTCCCGCTATCATTGTGGAAATCTATAGGGAATATCAAGGTCTAAATATTTATCATTTCAAATACCATTGATTTCTAAACCATGTCATACTCATATTTTCACTTCATAATATGTCGGACACCCACCAAGTCCATATATAAAGTTCACATCGCGTTAGCTGTTCTGTTAACAAAGTCCTAGTTTTTAGCTTCTGTTATAAAATTTAATTCGTTTTAGGTAATGTGACATGGTTGGTGTCTTCTGATTTTATTCATGCTTTGTAAGGTAGTATAAACTATATGAAACAATTCTTTATTCATGGTTGTTATTGAATAATAGAGCATTTCAACTCCCATTCTAAAATTTATTAGTGTTAACTTTTGCTTTCAACAAAATGTTATTAGAACTGTGGTATATTAGCTTAACATGTGAGAGAAAGTTGGTGAACAAAATAGGATTGTCATATTCATTTGCTAGTTGGTCATAATGACTATCACACTATACTCATGAAGAACCTTCTTCCATATAAGGAGTATTCACATTTTGTGGGGATAAAAATTCCCATCATAAGAGATGGATACTTGTTTACGTTTGAGGGTTCAAATGAGATGAGATGTAAATTAAGTGGTAGGGTAGATTTGAAAAATTTCCCAAAAATTGGTAAAATTATACAATTTAATACAAAAAAATTGTACTTTAAAGAACCAGTTTAGTACATGTATGTTGAAATCGTGTTAGGTATACGGTTTTAGTTGTATTTTTTTTTAAATCGTGTTAAATAGTATAAATTTATTTTTTTTATTAAAGTCGTGTTTCTAGCACGATATTAGTATTTTTTTCTTCAAAAAATAGAAATATTTGATTTTTTTAGATATATTATTTATAAATTAATTAATTTTAATTTAATTATTAATTTGAAAAAAATATATTAAGAGAAGTAAGGATATGGATAAATTTAAATTAGTACATTTACATTAAATAGAAAAAACAATTATATATATTATACAACAAAACAAGATAGAAAAAAAAAATTAATGGTGATACCTTCTTCCACAAGATGCCCTTTTAATTTGTCTTTTAGTTTTACGTGGTTGATCTTGAGTATGCGTTTGTTGTACTTATATAACACGCTTACGACCATGTGTTGGTTGAGATAAAATGTTCGTTTGTCTATTCTCATCATCATCATTATTAATATTTTCGTCATCTTCATTTGTATATTGTATAGGGGATATACACAACATAGGAAACATAAAAAGAGCTTGATTATATGCTCACGACAGTGTCATGGAAGATGCAAAAAACATATTTGTTTCATATGGAAACAAAGTAAATATATATGAGGAACTTGACCTCCAAATTGAAAATGAGTAGGTAAATTTTAAAATTGATTAACATATCCAATAAATGTATAAGGTTGTTGACTAGTTTGACTAATATATTGATGACCTGACGGGCCAACATGAACATGACTAGGTTGACTAATATGTTGGTGTTATTCTTGTTGTTGTGTATCGTACCATTGAAAACAAATTCAATGAGTATTATATCAATTTTATTATATATAAAATAAAATAAATTATATACTTACTTGTAGACCCCAAATCTTGTCTGGCTCCCCAATAAAGCCAGAGATAACCCGTTTCGAAGATGGTTAAGACTTTGTTAAGTCCCTAGTAGCTTTTTCTAGGTTCCATTTAAGATAGGAAGAGTTTTCAGAGGCAATAAAAATCAGAAATTTTGTCGGAAATAGCAGATGACTGTCCAGGACAGTCAGACGATCGTTCATGCCTACTTTAAGGCAATGGACGGCAGTCCACTTAGCACAGACGACCGTCCATGGAAACTTTTGGCCATGGACAGCCGTCCACTAAGTCTAGACGTCCGTCCACTTTTTCCTGATGCGGTTCCCTATAAATAGGAGCCTCATTCCTCGAATTTTTCACAACTATTCACTCCTACCACTCTCTAGGAAGCCTTTTGGCACTTTAGAGTGACTCTGAGCATTATTCCAGAGTTCGAGTGAGCTTTCCAATTTTTGTTAAGGTAGAAATCGATTAAGGAGGTCTCTTTTTGAGACATCCGACCCTCGGTAGAGTGAAATTTTTCTCTTTTGTGGGAGGAGCGTGCTTGTAGAGTGCGGGAACTACCAAAAAGCATCGTCAAGTTTCGAAGAGTTAATATAATGCTTGCTTCAGAGGTTCCTTCCCTATTCTCTCTCTCTTTTACTGCTTTCTTTATCGCTTTCTTTGTATGCATTATATATTAGGGTCATGTAGACATTTAAATTCTACAAGTAGATAAAATAATAGGTAAAAGCATAATTTATGTAAGTATTTATCTTTTTGAACTAGTCCATCATAGGGAACCCGAAAGGGGCATTGTGGGGTTCTAACACCTTTCCCACACGTAACTAACTCCCTTACCCGACTCTGGTTGTAATGGTCAAAGTTGGTTTTTTCTAAAATCATTGCCTTTTTACCTTTTTCAGTGTTTAAGGTTAAAACACTGGTGGCGACTCCATAGAACATTTTTCGAAAACTTCATTCTTAAGATCAGTTCAGTTATCGGACATCTTGAGAATGTCGACCATCTTTATAAAAAATGTGAGTCAATCAAAACCATCGCGTCGCTTCGACTGCCTCTTTTGACGGCGGCGACAGATGACGACTCTGCTGGGGAAGCTAGAGAGTTGATCTCATTAGTGATGGACTAGTTTAAGAAATAAAGACTTGAAATTACGCTTTTACCTTTTCTTGTTTTATAACATGCTTTACCGTTTGACTTTAATAACTATTGTATGTTTATTTTATGCAATTGTTTGAAATAAACAATTGTACACAAACCCTTGCACACAACAATCTCTCTATACCTGGGGGCAAGAGAGAATACACATAGGGAGTAGGTGGCAAGTACGGTCGGCCGTGGTAATGGTCTTAGTGCCAGCAGGTCATTGTCGAAAATCACCACTCAAGGTGATAACCCTTTTCTTTTTGTCTAAGAACGTTGACACGAAGATTCGTGCATAGTTCGAAGACTAGGAGATAAAGGGGACCCTATAATGGGGGCACCTTGGGGGCCTAGCCTTGGTGAGAATAGTTAGAACCTACCTTTGTCAATGCACTTTTCTGCAGGAAAATCCTACCTCGTGAATAAAAATTCCAATATGCTCGCGGATGAGTGAATTGTTTGTGCATTTGTTTGTTGCATTTGTGTGTTGCATAGCATAATCATACAACAACAAAATAAAAACAAAATCTAAAAACTCTTTCATAATAAACACCCTTATCTCGGACAGTCTACATTTTAGCTATCCTAGTTTCAGGTTCTTTGTAAGCTAAGTAGCCACGTAGACCGACAAAAGAGAAAGAGGATTACAAAACAAATTTTTTGTAATAAAACCCCTTTATCTCGGACAGTCTGCATTTTAACTAGCTTGATTTCAGGTTCTTTGTAAGCTAAGTAGCCATGCAGTCCGACATAAGAGATAAATAGTTATAAAAAAGCAAATAAATCAAATAATAAACATAATAAGAGAAAATAGGACCATGTTCATGGTGTTAAGCATCAAATTCATAAACATCCATATAGGTAGTCTCCTTTGCAAAAAATAATAATATACCATCATGCATTATGTAGAGAATAAAACATGATAATGTTTAGAAGAAAAAAAAAACACTTTCATGCATGCCCTCATAAAACATCATACTCATAGCATTTTTTTTTGCTTTTAGCTAATGGAGGGATCCAAACAGTTGGGAAAAGTGGACATTCCCCGTTACCGTGTTGAGAGGTTGGAACAATTATGTGCGTTGATACCGCCGGAGGTTCGTTCTGATTTCGAGAGATCTTATGGATGGATCCTCGACCTCTTAAGAATCTGCGTTGACCACGTATTTATCAGATTCTTGATCCACTTTTGGAGCTCCAAACTACATTGCTTTGAGTTCCCTCAGTTTGATTTGGTTCCGACCTTGGAAGAATATGAGCTTATGATCTGATGGCCCAAATCAGTCGGGGTCTACATTATCCAGGGAGCTTATGTCTGGATGAACAAGGTCGCCAACCTTATCCGATTTCCACTTCCATAGTCTGCCCTAAAGGGAAAAGGGAGTGCCCAAAGGTGGAAAATCTCATTATTAGAAGACCATTTATCCTCTTTGGTTGATAAAGGAGATTGGTCTACATTCAACAAGACTTTAGCGCTAATTGTGTTTGAGACCTTTTTGTTCCCTTTTCATAATGACACCGTGGATCACACTGCGATGGATGCCTTTTTTGCCTGAGACGTACACCTGAAGAGTCTCGTACCTGCACTTCTTGCTGACACCTTGCTGTCAGTAGAATTCTGTCATCATAAGCAAGGAAAAACACTTAGATGGTGTTCTACATTGCTGTATGTTTGGGGCATCACTCACTTCTATGCCTCGAGCCACATGGGAGCATTCCCCGATCCTTTGAGGAGCTTTTCAAATATCCCTCTTCGTCGTTGTCACGCCATGGAATGGAAAACCGAGTTGGAACACTAGAACATATATCATATATCTTGGGTCTGCCCATTGTAACATCCTGATTCTCAATACCCCTGGTTTGTTAAATTTTGACAAAATCTTTGTCAAAATTTTAATAATTAAATTATTAGGAATTGGGTAAAGTAACTCGTAGAGTTTTATGTTTATTAGATTATTTATGATTTTCGAAAATTTTTAGAAAATACTCGTGTGTGTGTGCCTCGAACGTTGAGTATGAACTTAACAATTTTAATTGTCACATTTAGAAATTATTGTTTTCTTTTATGCATTTAGTGTGGGTACATTAAAAGTTTATTATGTGTATAAATTGACAAGAAACATATGATGGTTAATATGGTTTGGAGTGATGTTGGAGTCTTAGGGGTTGTGGGTTCAAATCCTGGCTAGAGTAAAAAGGAGAAAATAAAGATAAATTTTTTTTGTAATGTAATCCGCTGGGCGAATCAGAAATGCGCTGAGCGAATTATGTTTGAAATCTCTATTACATGTAATCCGCTGGGCGCATCAGAAATGCGCT